TCCCGGGAATTCCAGGAATGGGGGGGGAATTCTGGGAGTCTTGGGAATTCCGGGAATCGGGTGGGAATTCCGGGAATGGGGTGGGGATTCCGGGAGTCGCGGGAATTCTGGGAATGGGGGGGGAATTCCGGGAATTCCGGCAATCACGGGAATCCTGGGAATCGCGGGAATTCTGGGAATGGGGTGGGAATTCCGGGAATCATGGGAATTCCAGGAATCGCGGGAATTCCGGGAATGGGGGGGGAATTCCGGGAGTCGCAGGAATTCTGGGAATCAGGTGGGAATGCCGGGAGTCGCGGGAATTCTGGGAATCTTGGGAATTCCGGGAGTTGTGGGAATTCTGGGAATCTTGGGAATGCCGGGAATCGCGGGAATGGGGGGGGAATTCCAGGAATCAGGTGGGAATGCCGGGAATCCCGGGAATTCCGGGAATCGCGGGAATTCCGGGAGTCTTGGGAATTCTGGGAATCTGGTGGGAATTCCGGGAAATTTTGGGAATCTTGGGAATTCTGGGAATCTTGGGAATTCCGGGAATCTCAGGAATTTCGGGAATTCCGGACCCACATCCTGTGGGATCTGGGAGCAGCTGCATGGAAAAACTCCGTTTTTCCCCATTTTTTTTTGGAGGCGTGGGATGGGAGCAGCCGCTGGGTGGGAAAAGCCGCGGGAATTCTTCCCGGAAAATGGGATTCGGGGAAAGATCCGGCTGGGAATTTTTATTATCCATGGAATTAGGGGTTTTTTCCGTGATTTTTTTGGTGTTATCCCAGAACACGCAAGTGACGGAGGCCTGGAATAAAATCGCCCACGCGTTCCACTGCAATCCCATCGAAGGTGAGGGGAAAGGGAATTCCTGGGAAAATGGGAATTCTGGGGAAATGGGAATTCTGGGAAAATGGGAATTCTGGGAAAATGGGAGTTCCGGGAAAATGGGAATTCCGGGGAATGGGAATTGCAGGGAAATGGGAATTCCGGGGGAAATGGGAATTCCTGGGAAATGGGAATTCCGGGGAAATGGGAATTCCGGGGAAATGGGAATTCTGGGAAATGGGAATTCCGGGGGAAAAGGGAATTCCAGGGGAAAGGGAATTTCAGGGA